TATATGTATATGTATATATATATGTGTATATATGTGTATATATGTGTATATATGTGTATATATGTGTATATATGTGTATGTATATGTATATGTATATGTATATGTATGTATATATATATCCTGCTGGTCAGTCCAATAAATAGAATCATACTGATTGAGGCATGTGCAAGTGTAATAAAGAAACCCATAGTTCGCTTTGTGACTTCATATAGTTTGTCTCCATCACACAGTTGTTTTAATCTTAGAAATGTCAATGGAGGTTCTCAGTCATCTACCTCACGGTTGTCCCAAAGATGCTTTTTCAAAAGGCAACTGGACTTTCTTGATTTTCCTGGAAGATGTTACCTTTCTTGTCCAAGACACTTCTTCGGTTCTAACTAACTGGCAAAGGGAAAGGAGTTCTATAAATATTTTCTCTGCCTCACTAGTTATATCTGAAGAAGCATCCTGGATGAGAAGTGAAATATCTTCAACTAAAAGAAACAAGGAAGTCCATTGTTTTTTGAAAGCACTTTTGGAACAATCTTAGCAATGCTTCCGTCAGGGGAAAAAAATGTAAAAAACAAACAAACACCAACCTCTATGTAGGTAAAGGTTTTTCTTGCACATGTGTACTAGTCGTTCCCGACTCTAGGAGGCAGTGCTCATCTCCGTTTCCAAGCTGAAGAGCCAGTCCTGTCCAAAGACGTTCTCCGTGATCATGTGGCTGGCATGACAATGCCGAAGGCACACGGAACGCTGTTACCTTCCCACCAAAGGTGGTGCCTATTTTTCTACTTGCATTTTTTTATGTGCTTTCGAACTGCTAGGTTGGCAGAAGCTGGGATAAGTAATGGGAGCTCACTCCGTTACGTGGCACTAGGGATTCGAACTGCCAACCTTTCAATCGACAAGCTCAGCTCAGTCTTAGTCCCTCAGCCATGCGACCCTTTATATACATCACCAACCAAAGAGTGTGAGTTGGTGGGCACTAGAAGATGGACTTTTTCTAGAGTAGCCACTGCTCCATGGAACATCCTCCCTTTGAAGATTAGAAGGGCTCCAATCCAATATAATATTTTAGTATTTCACTTGTAATACCATTTTTTAAATTGTAAATTGTCCAGAGTCATTGATTGAGATGGGTGGCTATAGCAAATGAATAAGTGAACTGCCTCCACTACCATAGAATATTTGATTTTTGGGGGGGGGGGGGGAATGACTCAAACAATTGCCCCCAACATTTTGTTGTTGTTTTTAAAGGAAGGGAGTCACTTGCCAGAAGGTAGAGAAGCTATTTGTGTTTATTGTATGGAATATTCAGATTTTAGGAAAGAGACAACCTCCTTAAGAATTCTGAAGATGAGAATCATAAACTTTGATGAATTAAAGTTACCATATTTTCCGGCGTATAAGATGACTTTTTAACCCCAAAAAATTATTTCAAAAATCGGGGGTTGTCTTACACGCCGGGTATAAGAAAGGCATACCAAAAAACCAAAACAAAAGAAAAAGCAACGCCGCCAAGCAAAAAGCAACGCCGCCACCAATGCAGACACCGGCCTTTCAATCGATAACCTCCTTGCCTGGGCATGTGGATGGATGAGCGCCGGGATGGCTTAGTAAGGTCTGGTTGGCAGTCTGGAGGAGGAAGGCGCTGAGCTCAAACTACAGAAGCCCAGCAGTGCGGAGGCCTTCAGCCAGCTTGCGGGCATCTGAAAGTAGGGGGTCGTCTTATACGCCCAGTCGCCTTATATGCCGGAAAATATGGTAAACTTAAAATGCCGTGATTCAGTGGCTAAGACGCTGAGCTTGTTAATCAGAAAGGTCGGCGGTTTGAATCCCTAGCACCACATAACGGAATGAGCTCCGGTTACTTCTCCTAACTTCTGCCAACCTAACAGTTCAAAAACACATAAAAATGCAAGTAGAAAAATAGGAACCACCTTTGGTGGGAAGGTAACAGCGTTCCGTGCACCTTTGGCATTTAGTCATGCCGGCCACATGACCACGGATACGTCTTCGGACAGCTCTGGCTCTTTGGCTTTGAAACGGAGATGAGCACCTCCCCCTAGAGTCAGAAACGACTAGCACACATGTGTTAGACTTGCAGTGTTTCTCAACCTTGGTCACTTGAAGATGTCTGGACTTCAACTCCCAGAATTCCCCAGCCAGCATTCGCTGGCTGGGGAATTCTGGGAGTTGAAGTCCAGACACCTTCAAGTGTCCAAGGTAGAGAAACACTGTGTTAGAGGAACCTTTACCTTCAAACTTAAGCCAGTTTGGTCCAGTGGGGAAGGCACCTGGCTAGAAATCAGGAGACTATGAATTCCAGTTCTGCATTAGGCATGAAAGCCGGTTGGATGACTTTGGGCCAGTCCCTCTCTCTTAGCTCAACCCACCTCAAAAGGTTGTTGCTGTGAGAAAATCAGAGGAAGAAAGACCATTAGGTATATTTACTATCTTGAGTTATCTATAGAAATAATGTTTTTTTTTAAAAAAAATCTAAATAAATTTAATATAATCACAATGATTTGAGGGAAGAGCATTGGAAAGTTAGATTGAAATTTTCGGTATTAAGCCAAGAAAACTACAAAGTGCACCTTTTTCCAGCACAACCAATCTTATAGGATGGGGGTAAGTGGTGGGTTCCAAATCCTGTTGCAACTGGTGCCCTGCGCCGGGAGCAGGCATCCACCACATGCACGAGCATTGCGCATGCATGCGCACCCACCACCCATGTTGCGCAGGCGCCGTATGCTGCATGCACATGCTCAAATGGCCTGGTTGGGTTAAAATACAGGTAAGGAATGTGGGCAGAGTGGGTGGGCCCTCCGAAGGAATGGAACGGTGCCTACTGCCCCCTACTGGGGCATACTGGCCGAAACCCACCACTGGATGGGGTGATGAAAGTAAATTGAAAGAGAATTCCCAAATAAGCCAAAACAAGCTCCTGTGGGGGGAAAAATGTATGGTATGAGTTTAATAAATAATTTCCCAACAGGTTTGTGGTTGTTTTAACCTTCTCATTCACTGTTCGATAACCCCCTACTGAATGTAATTTAGGTGGTGGGACTGGATTTATTGGTCGAAACTTAAGCCGGATGCTAAGGAGCCAAGGCCATGAAGTAACCCTTATTTCTCGTGAACCTGGAAAGAACCGGTTAACCTGGGTAAGGAGTAGGGGCTTAAAACAAGCTAAAACTTAGAAGAATATGTTATTGTGGCCCGCCAGCAGCCAGCGGAGCTGCTAGCAGATTCGGACAGTGAGGAGGTTGGGGAGGAACATGGGCCACTCCTGGAGTCTTGGGAAGGCTCCGACGAGTGCTCTGCATCAGAGGCAGAGATGGGCCAGGGCCGTCTTAACAGTTATCAGCTGCCTTTGGAGTGAGACATCAGTGAGGGAGATGAACAACCCCAGTGTGTGCATGCACAGAGTTGCCAAACAAAGGGAACAGCTAAGGAACAAGGGTCGACTTGGGAGTAAGGCCCCAGGTGGACAGTGACCCTCCATAGGGAATAAAAGAGGAGTGAAAAAGGAGGGGTGTTTGCAGGAGACAATTAGTTCATTCCTGCATTCTTGCCAAGTATTGCAGCATCGGAAAGATATCGGCCTGGCCACTCTCCAAGCCTCATAAAGGTTAGTAATTGTGAGCTATCTTGAAAGACTGTGGGAGAGGAACGACTTTGCTGGAGAGGAATTCACTGTAAATTAAATAAAAGGGGTTTATCGAGACGAGAACTTGGCTTCGTGTTGCTGGGGAAGCCTAGATCAGAACATACGCTTAAATGCATTCCAGATGGGACGGTTGCAATTTAATTTATTCTGAAGTGACAATGGAAGAATGGTTTGTATAGATGAAGAGGAGATGGGAGACAAAGAACCTATAGGGCAATTCCGGGATACGTTAGATGAATTAAGGACAGAGTGGAAATTTTAGAAAGAAACACAGAAGTGATGAACAAGGAGATGGAGAAGGACTTAGACCAGTTTTTCTCAACCTTGGCAACTTGAAGATGTCCGGACTTCAACTTCCAGAATTCCCCAGCCAGCGAATGTTCTGGGAGTTGAAGTCTGGACATCTTCAAGTTGCCAAGGTTGAGAAACACTGACTTAGACAATCTGACACTACTGGAATGGAGAGAAAATAAATTTTATTTGAGACTTAGAGCAGTTCCCGAGAAGACCAAAGATTCTTCAAGCTTTAGTAAACTTTTTTGAATGGAATGAAGATGATATGGAGGCAGAAATCAACAAAAGGTATAAAATTAACAGAATATTGGCAAAGTCAAAACAAAAAATGTACCAAAGCATATTCTTGGGCACTCTTTATCAGGAGGACTGGAGGACTGCCATTTCTTTGCTTGCTGACAAAAGCTGCTCCCATTGAAGGCTAAAGTCGGTTTGTTTGGATGCTTATTGGCTGTTGATCGGGACAGCAAAGTTAATTGTAGAGAATGGATGAGCCATTTTTAATTGAAATGTATACAGGTAGTCCTCGACTTAATAACACTTCATTTAGTGACAGTTCAAAGTTACAATGGCACTTGTAAAAAGTGACATGGCCATTTTTCACACATGGATTGTTGGAGCATCTCAATGGTTATGAGATCAAAATTCAGACGTTTGGCAACTGACACATATTTATGACCTGTTTCCCGGCTCCCCAGAGTTATGTTTGGCCCCTTTTGTGACCTTCTGAGGAGCAAAGTCCACGAGGAAGCCAGATTTACTGAACCACCGTGTTACTAACTGAACAGCTGCAGCGATTCATTTAACAACTGGAAAGAAAGGTCATAAAATGGGACCAAAGTCACTTAACAGCTATCTCGCTTAGCAACAGAAACGTTGCTCTCCATTTGTGGTCATAAGCTGAAGATTACCTGTCTGTAATTAATAATATAGCCTCTAAAATATTGTAGGGTGAGAATTGATTTAGTCTATGAAAGATAGAAATCAGAAGGACTCTTAAGAATAGCTTTTCAATCTAATAATAATTATTAAAAGGTCTAAGCTTTTATGAGCTCCTGATGCAGTGGAGCGATTAGATTGGTGTAGAATTTAAATTGGGGTGCAAGTTGGAAAGGAAAGAACTAAAGGTCGCTGCGCAGGTGGCATGTAAAAATATATTACTGATTGCCTTTATCAATTAACATTTGTCACCCAGTGGAGAGTCCCGTTAAATAATTATTATTAGATTGAAAAGCTATTCTTAAGAGTCCTTCTGATTTCTATCTTCCATAGACTAAATCAATTCTCGCCCTACAATATTTTA